AAAATAATTAAAAAATAACAAATTCAATTAATGTTTTACTAAACTAAGTTATATTTATTTAAATATATGAAAAATATATAAATTATTACATTTGTGATGGAAAAACCACGGAGACCACGATCACAAGGATAAAGAGATAAGACACGTATTGAGACGTAGTTAGAACGGCAGTGGGTGCCTAACTTTTGGATTTATTTACAAATTCATCCAAACTTTAATTCAATTAAATTACAAAAAAATAATTGAAAAAAAAGAATTATGACCATTTTTATAATAGTTTTTTTAAAAATTAAAAAAATAGATAAATATTTTAAGTCAACATTTTGTTTTAACGGAACAATTTTCGAGACAAATGAGGTGTTTGGGATTGCTCATTTGAAATAACTTATGTTTTTTCTACAAAAACATTTATTTATAAGTCAGAAGGGTTTAACCTTTTCAAAAACTCTTTATAACCAGTTTGACACCGGTATAAGTTATTTATTCAAACACTCAAAAATGTTTATTACTAATATCATACCAAAATAAATCAATAAACTATTTTTACGGAAAATCCCAAACACCTCCAAAGAAAATAGGAGAGAGAATATAAAGAAGAAAAAGAGAAGATTTTATTTATTTAAGGATTAATTACTGGATATTAAAATAAAAAATAGTAAAATGCTACAACCGTTCTTGATCACAAAAAGATTGTCCTTTCCCTCCACAGAATCTTAATCTAACACCCACCCATCAATTCCCACCTTTTTCTGTAATTGATTCACCAAAAACCTAACATACCCAGTAATCCAGACAACACCAGAAGCGACGGCGCCACCGTGAAGCTCCGACGACCATCTGAGACGGATTGGACAACCGGATACAGGTCTCCTGGTGGACCAGTGATGTAAATGTAATCTGGCGGTGCCTTTCCACCTCCACCTCCACCTCCACCGCCTGACGGTGGTGGTGGACAGTTCAGACCGGGAGTTGGCGACGGCTTCTTGGGTGCTGGCGGTGGTGGTGATGGAGATGGCGGTGGTGGAGGTGGACTGCTGTAACAAGTCTTACCGCAAGGACAACTACCGCACTTCATTTGATCATCATCCGGTGATCCAACAGGGTTGGTGTTCGCCGGAGTTGTGTCATCGAGCTTTCTAGGATTCATCGCTTCGATCGGAGCCGTAACCATCGCCACCGCCATGATCACAAGAAAGATCATTCGGAACGCAATCGCCATCACGTTTCAGAATCGCCGGAAAACCAAAAATTGGAATTTAAATCTGGGTTTGCTTGAATTTGAAGTGGGTTATGATTAATTTGATTGGAGAAGGGAGAAGGCGGTGGTGATGGTGGAGGTGCATGGGAGGTGAAGGAGGCCAAAAGTCGTTTGGTTAAGTAAGCCTTAAGTCTTGGTCTTTATTTGTTGGTGTGTTGGCTTAATCTAGAAGACAACCCACCCACCAATTTCCTTGCTTGCATTGGCATGTGGCATGACCTAATGCTTGGGTCCCCCACTCTTTATCAATATCCTTTTTCTTTTCTTTTTTTAAATTAAAGAACCTAATTCTTTGTGACAACTAGTCTCACACTTTATGATATGTTTAAGAACTAAGTTATGAGTTGCTAATAATTGTTTAGAATTTGGGGTTGATTCAAGGTTAGGGTCAAGATTTTTGATTAATATGGTCTTTTTAAAAGTTTCAAGAACATTAAATAACACTTGTGACACAAAACCAAATCAAGATATATCAGAGGAAACATATCTAACCGTGCAACATCATTGTGATTCCTAATATCTGTATCCAAACTTGCAAAAACCAAATCAATAAATAACATATGAACTTTATAATGGATTGTGGCATTGTACACTACTTAGAATGGTGCCAAAAGTGCGAACTTTTCAAGGCAGAGGGCCAGAGGCAATGACAGAAGCAAGTAAGAATAAGCAAACTACAGAGGGAATAAATCATAATAGGTAGAGGTAATAAACTTGAAGCAGATCCACTAATCAAGCAAAGCAAATCAATAGGAAGGACTAGAAGCAATGTTGATTAAAAAAACAAATATCAAGTATGAAGTATCCAAACATGTAATAGAACACGGAAGCATCAAGTATGAAGTATCCAAACATTTAGAAAAGGGCAACAACATTCAATTTATGATTTTCTGAACCCTTAAAAAAGATTGACTAAACCCTAAAAGGATTGACTTAATACTGCCAAGAGATGTGACTTCGGCTAATGCAGAAGCATTAGGGGAGAAGCAACCAAGTAGAGCAGGGGTGGAGGGGAGATGTTTTATGAATTCTAAATTATGTGATCACGACTTTCTTATTACTATTTTTTTTTTTGCGCGAGGGGGGGGGGGGGATTGAGGTAGGTCTGTTACAAACTATAAATTTAGGCTATGAAAATTTTCTTTAAAAAAAACTCTTAAGGTACTCCTAAGCTATCTTGAGCCAATGATGGCTTTATGAGTGATTTGAATGTTATGGGATCATCTTTCTACTTTTGAGCTTTATAAGTGGTATGAGAATATATCCTTGTACCATCCTAATGTTCTGACAAACATCATCGAGCACCATGTTAGGAATGTAAATGGAGGAGTTTGTAACAACTCGTCTCACATCCATAGAAAAGATGTGTCAGTTTCTCATGAGCCCCAAATGTGGGATACCTATAAAATTGCACCAGGAGTCTAAGTTTGGATTTTCATGCTATTTGGTCAATCTTTTGCTTTGAGCTTGGAGCATTACAATATTAATTTGATAAATACGAAACACACAAATCAAAGGATATGATGGAACTCATGCTCGAAGCAAGAAAGTGATGGTTTAGATGTTGGTAGCAACAACCACCTATGTTGGCAGCAAGCGGGCTCTCAGAAGCTCGATATGGAACACAAGGGAACACAAGGGTACATCGAGGGCTAGTAAAAAAGACCAAAAAAGAATATCTGAGGAGAAATAATGTTTATATTAATTATTTAGACTTATTATAGTTTAATATGAAGTTTGTTCAAATCATTTTTTATTAACCTGAATATCCAACCCGCTATGTCAATAGACTATATTTTGCAGGTAGCCCAGAGTCACTGCATTTGAACCTCTATAACCACAAGATAATTTATAAAAATTCTCTTTAGATTTGAACCCATAATCTCTAGACACTTCTAACCTTATAATGACTAACCTCAAAGCAATCAAATCACTTTTGTGATTTGTTAAAACCCTTTTTGGTTTAATATGTAATGCATTCATAATCAACAATGGGGTTTGTCCCATCAAAGTTGTATGGACATGCAATTGGTTGGCACTATCATGCCATATGTATTTATTTATCTTTTATACAATAAATTAAATAAATAAGAATCTATTGAATATTTTTGTACATACTACAAGTCAAAGTGAAGTAAATATTGGAGTGGTTTCCTTCTCCTTTCCTTATCAATAAATTGCAATTATGATATCAAATTGGTGGTGCACCGGCCGGCACCTATTATATCATATCAATATGAACACGTTGAAAAGAGTATTTTATTTTTTATTTTTTATTTTTTTATTATTAATCATAAGAGTGATGTTTGATTGGTTTGAGTTTGGCTCCAAAGATCAAAAAGTACCAAGAAGTCTCAGGTTCAAATCCAAGGAAAAATAAAAATCTCATTGTGACTACGAAGGTTCAAATACGGTGACTCGGGGAAATCTGCAAAGCAAGTGGTTATCTTGGGATTATCCAGCTCACATAGCGGGTTGGATATTCAGGTTAATAAAAAAACAAGAGTATTTTATTTATTATTGAATTATTTTAAATTCAAATTAAAAAATTATTTAGAAAGAAGGGCATGTGAATAAGCTCATCCCAACCTTAAAGTTAGGTTTCATGACATTATTGTCACATATTTTAGGGAACCCATGTTCAATGCCCTCCAATTATTGTTTCATAATCTTTGAAATAAATAAATTCAAAGACGAAAAGAATTGTGTACGTATTTACGAAAAAATGAATGGAATTATGATTGGTGATGGATAAAGGTCAGAGAAACTGATTCAGTTCTCTGAATACTGTATGAATATAACAAAAGATAAAAAAAGACTCGAATAATATGATGTGACAGAGTAAATCAAATATTGTATTCTTGTATTTATATAAAACAGCGTTTGTTTATCATATTCTGTTTACGTTTAATATATATACTTGAAGACATCTTTGTCCATATCTGATTGTTGTTTGTATTCGTTTACGATTATTTGAATATCTAAATTCTATCATGTATTTCAGATATTAAAATACCCGTTTGTCATAAAGCCTGTGAATTCTTGTACAAAGATAACGACGTTTTTTAGAATAAAACAGTAGCAGTCTATTATATTGATCCATGATAACCAATCAAATATATTTTTTTAAATAATAAAGGATTTAACGTATGTCGTTTCTTTTATTTTAAAGAAAATATAACATTTTTTTATTATATTATTTTAAAAATAATACCTTTGATCAAGGAGATGTTTGGTTTAGAAAGAGCAGTGAAAATGAGAATGAGGGAACGAAAATTTAGGTTTTTCTTGAGAAATGAGTTTATTATATTATATAAACCAGATAATTTTTCAGTATCATTAATTACTGTTCAATACATCTAATTAAACACTCTTTAAATATATTTTGAATTTATATATTTTAATTTTAATTACATTTTAATTTTAATTACAAAGTATTCCGTAAAAAGATGAAAATAAAAGAAAATTGTTTAATAATTGGAAATATGTTTGTAATTTGATATTTTGATTTGAAGAGGTCGCGTGTAAAAGGCGGAATATAGTCCAAGGTGTGTGTGACACAAATCAAACATTATAAGAAATGTGAAAAGACATATCAGCCCCTTCACTAGACACGTGTAAGTCAGCAATCTTTTCTTTAAAAAATAAAATTAGAATTTCAATTTTATTATTTGTTTGTCGACATAAAATTAAATTGTTTATTATATCTATATTATATTATAAAATATTTAATAAAAACTCTTAAAAATTATCTTTTATATATTAAATATTGTTTATTTATGCATATTACTTAAAATTCAAGATTACAAGTAAATTGTATGTAAGTACAATTTATTAAGCTTCATATTTGAATTCGTGTAACTAACTGTTGGTAAATATAATAAAATATAGAACGAAATGCTTATTTTTAGATATAAAATATAAAATATAATTAAATAATTATTGAGTTCTAACAAAATACTTAGTTATTGTCTTCATAAAAAATTATATTACTAAATCAAAAATAAATTACTTCGTCATCAAACATAAATTAAATTATAATAAAAAAATTAAATTAAAGAAATTATACAAAAAAATAAAACTTTTATATTTTTAAATTTTTATGATATTTTTAAATTTGTATTTTATTAAGAAAAAACATTATTGTTTGCTCAAAACCACATAAATTCGTATTATAATATCGATAAAGACCAAAAAATAAAATAAAACATTAAAATCGAGATATATTTCACTGTATTACACGAATATCCTTCTAGCAAAATATAAATACAAGAGTGTTTTAAGAAACAATGGTGTTATATTCTTCGTAGTAAAACCATTCTAATGAGAACAAATAAAATCATATGATATTTAAACTTGTATAGTAATGGAAATATTCTTTAAAATAATAAAGAATTATTGTTTTAGAAAAAAATCATCCAATTAAAACATAACACGTCCGCCGTTTCTATAAGTTTAAATTATTTATTGCTAACCATATTTTTTGTTTATTTGATTTGACATATTAAAACACATTTTGGTTATTTTAAAAGATAAATTATATGAAAAGATAATATACTTTAATTTTGTTTGGAATAACTAAAAGAGCATCCGTACAATGCAGCGATGTACATCTTGATTCTAATGTTTCGTTTCATATTTTTAGAAATGTGATTTTATGTGGTTTTGAGAAAAAAAATTATTTTTGAATGAAATATAAATTTGAAGATGTTATAAAATTTTGAAAAAGTAAGCAATATTAGTATCAAACTAATTATTTAAAAGTTTTCGTTTTTGTGTATTAATTCAGTTTTTTGTTATAATTTAATTGAAGTTTAAAAACGAATTAATTTATTTATGATTTAATAAAATAAATTTTTTAAATAGTAATTAAATATTCTGTTAGAACTCAATGATTATCTTAATTATATTTTAGATTTTTATATTTAAAATGATGTTTATCATGTATTTGATTATGTTTATCTGCAGTTAGTCACATGAATTCAAACATAGAGCTTTAATAAAATGTACTCATGCACATTCTACTTGTAATCTTGAATTTTAAGTAATATGCATCAATAAACAGTACTTTATGCATAAATAAATGTTTTTAAAAATTTATGTCAAATGCTTTGTAATATAGTATAGATGTATTTCCAAAACATTTGTTTTGATATGATACGAAAACTTTTAAACATTTAAATATCTAGATGACATGTTTAAATATTAACAAGTTATTATGTTGATATAGCGAATAACATAACATACAAATCAGTGTTATTTGTTGATATGCCAAGTTATATGGATTTTTAAATCACCTTTCTATACCTTTTTCTTATAAAAAAATATAAAAAAATTTGGGAAATTTATTAAAATAATTATTTTTCAGGATTTGTTTCACCTTCTAGCCATTTTTTCTCCAAGTTTACCAAAATAGTCATAAGTCCACAAAACTCACGTTCACAGTTGCGGACTCAGCTAAAAGACAAAAAAATTACACTTTTTATCCTTGTCTGCAAAAAAATTACCTTCTTCACCCAAGTGTGCAAAAAAAAACTTAAAATTGCAGATCTAAGACTATTTTAATAAACTTTGTAAAGAGTGACTAAGAGATGAAACCAACCATAAAAATAGTTATTTTAATTAATTTTCCTTTTTAACTTTTTCTATTATCAATATTTATTTTGTGGCCTAAATGCGATTCCCTTTTTGTGAGATTTTCATCCCACAATAGATCTTATAATTTATTTTTCCTCCGCTGACGAAGCCCCAAACCGGTGAAACACTTCACCTTCCACCGATGAGACCTCGTTGTGACTAACCGTTCATTTGCACCTCCCCCCTCGTTGTCCGATGAACCCCCATCCCACACTCTAACGGGACCCTTCCTCCTATCTGCTCAAATGAAACCCCATATTTGTTTCCAAAAAATGAGCGAGTGTCTGCATCGTTCTTCTGTAGAGGGTTCATTTACGATTTGGATTTCGATCATGCGTGGAGATACCCTTTGAGATCTCATGTATGCAAATAGTTAAACAACCTTACTGACATGTGTTAAGTAAAAGGTCTGGTGCTTATTTTATTCGTTTATGCTCTGTCTTTCAAACTTGACCTACAAGGTAACGAACACGAAGGACAACAATATCTCTCATTTGCATCTCGCGTGATAATTAGTCACAACAATATATTAAGAAAATGAGTGGGTACGCCTTGAAATATAAGAGAAAGGAACTGTAGATTGGATTATTTTTATCGATGAAACTACCTTAACTTTTATAAACGATGTTGACCAATTAAACGACCACAAGCTATCAAGAGGTATGCATCAATGACGAGGGTTGTGTATGATTTGATCCAAATTGATTAATCATGTCGAATCAAAGTAATTTGGCTAGTTTAGACATGCATTAATCCATTGACAGATTTGAAAATTCTAAACCAAATGTGTAGATTGAGGGGTTGTTTGGCAGTTACTGAATGGTTTGGAGCAAAACGATTAAGTGATCAGAATGATTAAGAAGATCTTATTATATAGTGCAAAATGAAATATAATTGTTTGGTAATTATTTACAAGGAAGTCAAGGCGCTGAATGGTTAAGGGACGCCCATGATACAAAATCATTCAGAGAGTTTTAGAATCATTAAGAGCCAGACTTTTCTTTTATCAAACAAGATTCACCTCTTAACGATTCAGATGCTGTCTTTTAATGGAACTATTAAGAGGTAAACAAACAACCCCCGATTTGTATTTGTAAAACAATAGTTTTATATGGAAGTTGAATTCAATTCAAACAAGAAAGTATCCCAATTAAAAGACAAAACTAATTTGATTGATATTACAAGCTTAATGGATAAGATAGAAAATGGAGTCATCCAAGTTCAAAGCATCAAGAGTTTGGGACTCAAATCATGAACATTAATGAAAACTATGTTCTTTGGATGAAAAACATTTAAATTAAAATTTCAAATTAATTATTACAAAATTACAATAAAGTGATTCGATAAACGAAAATACACAAGTTATTGTCGTTAAAAATATTTTAAAAGTTGAGATATTTTACATATAGATCATTCTGATGTGACACCGATAATAATCACTTTTGGATGTTTGGATAAACAACTTATACCGGTGTCAAACCAGTAATAAGAAGTTTTTAAAGAAGTTAAATCATTCCAACTTATAATAAGTTGATAAACACTTTTGTAGAAAAGCATGAGTTGTTTCCAATAAGCAATCCCAAACACCCCCTAACAAAAAATATATTTTTAGTATATAACATTTAATAATTATGATTAATTATTTTAATAATATTATGCTTTTTTAAAGCGTTGATTTTTGGCAATGATGATATTCTTGATATGTTACTGAGTTTTAAAAGCAACTTATGCATAATACGTTAGTTTTTATGACAAAATTTTTACTTAACACGAAACTATTATTTCTTCATTTCCATTTTTTGCAATAGTGTTTATTTTTTTTTATTTCAATTGTTTCAGGGGTTGTTTTTTTACCTCTTAATAGTTTCATTAAGATGCAGCATCTAAATCATTAAAAGATGAATCTTGTTTGGCAAAAAAAAGTATGTCTCTTAATGGTTTTAAAACCCTCTGAATAATTTTGTATTATAGATCTCCCTTAACCATTAAGAACGCTAATTTCATTGTAAACAATTACCAAACAATTATTTTTCATTTTGCACTATATCATAAAAGCTTTTTAATCATTCTGTACCAAAAAATTCAGCAACTGTCAAACAGCCCTTTAGTGTGTGACTCTTTGGCAAATTTTAACATGTAATATGTTTTAACATACAATATCACTTGACAAATTAGTATCCACGTTAACAATAATCATAAAATCTAATGAATATTGGTTAAAACGTCTACGAAACAAAACAAATTTTACATTTGTTCCATTAATTGAGGAAAAAAATTATTGCTATACTAAGTAAAAACTAAGATAGAATTTATTGAATTTTGACATTTTTATTACCATAAACAGCTGGATAAACTGGCTTATTGGACTTTTTCGATAAAGCTATCTTATAAGCAACTTACGGTTAACAAGTAGGGCTTAAATTGTGTCTAATTTCATAACGACAATTTTCTTTAACATGAGACTATTTTTTGTTGGCAACAACTTCAACCCATTATTGATTTTAGTGGTGACAAAAGAAACGATTTTTTTTTTAACAGGATGGTATCCTATTGGTTTGAGCTTGGACTTCATAGGTCAAAAAGGTCTGGAGGTCGCAGGTTCGAATTCAAGGAGAAATAAAAATCTCGTGTGGCCACAGGGATGTTCCATAGAAACTACATGCTTCAAAATTCTTTTTGAAATGCTACTACTCAAGGAAGAATGTGTGCGTTTGGCACTCGGGACATAACACAACAAAAACGTGTTGTCTCATATTTGATGCAACAATAAATTGGGAGATAGGGAACTAGAACGTTGTCTCAACAAAATAAGTGGAATAAATATCAGGGAGATGTGACAAGACTGATATATTACTAAACTATCCATATCAAATTAAAACCCTACAATCTTTCACAATTCTTACATCCGCCTATATCACTCTTGTCTAGTCCAGTCTCGTCCAGTCAGCATACCAAACAATACAAGAGTTGCAACTAGTATGATACATGAGTCACTCTAGAAAACCCGATTTCGTTTGGATGTAAAAACTCCACTTTCCTTTAAACCCTACTTACCTCCTCTATCCTGTGTTTTCTTGTGGATTGGGATAATTGAACTATGTCCCACATAACTACAGTTGTCAAGATTTGGCATACGTAAATGTTGTTTGGACACCTTCCTCCTTTGAGCTAGCTTTCGGAAGTGAGTTATACCCAAACCCATTTATCATGGTATTAGAGCAGGCTTTTACTGGCAACTTATGAATTGCATTTGTTTGCTTGGACCCTGGCCAACAAAACTACGCATGAGGGAAGGTATTGAAGTCGTATTTGTCCCACATGTCCAGGTTACCCTTGGGCGCCCTACTTTTTGAGGTAGCTTTTGGGAGTTAATTCTACCCAAGCGGATGTCAAAATTCCCTTGCATTCATTGTGGATGACCACCTGCTTTGCAGATAGCCCGGAGTCACCGTATTTGAACCTCCGTGGCCACAAGGGGATTTTTATTCCTCCTTGAATTTGAACCTGGGACCTCCTGATACTTTTTGACCTTTGGAGCCAATCTCAAACCAATAAGTCACCACCCTTGTGGTTAGGTTAAAATCAACTTAGAAGCTATGAGGACCAACATCATGTGGAATAGCTTTGAAACATCTTTGATACCTGGAATGATGCATGTTTTGAGAAGGAAGGCAAATTCTCATTCATGATATCATCACCTTGGATCTCAACAACTTGAAGTAGACCTGCAGAGAAACACTTATTGTTGTTGCTCTATCGATACAAATAATTGTCAAATTCCCCCTAAGATCAGTCACCAAATTAAACATGAAAAACAAAGTCAAGCTACAATAACCGCATAACATGCACTGTTTTCGAAACAAATGCTATGGGAGCGTGGGGGCTTCCACAACATGTTTCATCTGGTCGTTGTGTAGTTTAGGAAGTGATGGTACCGGTGGAACAGGAATTTCAGGAAGTTTGGGAAGTGATGGTACAGGTGGAGCCGGGATTTCTTGTTCTGCTTTTGGTGGAGGAGCTGGTTTCTGGTTTTCGGTTTCTTCTGTTTCTTGTGAGGGTTGCTTTTCGGTTTCTTCTGTTTCTGGTTTTGACAACCCAACTTTTTCTCTAAGCATCTTGAATTTTTCCAATATCATCTTTTTGATCTCGATTCTACTAACGCGGGCTTCAGCAGGCTGAGGTAAGGATAGAGTGGCAGCACCAATAGATGCAGCGGTTAAACACAATGCTAGATCTCTTCTCGAGACATTCACAGATGTTTTCTCCGATGATTCTAACTTTTGAAGTTCTTTAACCCTCACCTGCATTATCAATAAAAGTTAAAGATAGGCCTTAATACGAGACTAGCCTATTGGTAAAAAACCTTTTAAGAGGAATTACTGGAAATTTATTAGCAAGAAGATGTTAAAGGGAATAACCCGACCACTTTTCATATGTATGCTAAATTTCCTCAACTTAAAATGGTACTAACAAACGCAGAGACAAACCATCCTGATCAAGAATTACCAAAATCAAGCTGGATACTAATCTACTAATTGCAGTCAGAAATAAGAGGGAAAAGAAAACTTAGTACCATTTACCCAGCCAAACCGATCCAGTAAGTCCCACTCAAAAGTAGGGTTGGGGGTGAGATACAGGCAGACCTGACCCTACTCCAGTAGAGCAGTTGTTTCATGAAGACCCTTGGCTTGCGTACGAGTGTGAGTAAAGAGGTAAAAGGAATAAAGACTAGCACATGATGAATATGAAACAAGAAGAATAGAAAAAGTAGCGAGTAGGTGCATACGAAACATATAAAAAGGTAATGTGAGGCAGAACACACACAAATCAAGCAACGCAGAACACACAAAGAACAAGTAAAGCAAAAGCACATCCCTAGCCTAAACACATTTGACATTGGAATGTCGAATAAGCTATTTCTTTACTTTCAAACTAACACGAATTACTTTAATTATATGGATAAGGGCAATATATCCCATTAAACTCACCATCAAACTAACCACCACTCCTTTATGTAAAAACAAACATATGGGTAGTTACACATCATCTCTCTTTGTAGCCATACTCTTCCAGAAAAGAGAAGAAAAGATGAATTTGGTGGTAGCATAGATGGTTCCCATATTCTACGGATAAAATTGATATCCTCATTTAGTATATACATAAAGTATTAGAATATAGACATATTGGGATAAAGAACTTAAACAATCTGTCAAGTTTTAATGTGAATGGCTTTAAGGTTGAATTTACAGAATCAAAAGTAGAGCTAGTCTTCTGGAAGGAGAGTACATACAATGCGTGCTTATATCAGACCCTACCGTCCAAACCCATGTTTTACAATGAACACATTTCTTACACCAAACGTCCAAACCCATGTTTTACACTATCCCTCTCCAATGTATATAACATATTTTGTACCATTGAACACCATTTTCTACAAAATTGGTGTAAAAAGGAATATACTTAGAATATTATGTTTGGTATAAAAAATGGAGTTGATAGATAGACATAAATCCTCAGTTTGCACCTAAAATTACACCATTTTTGTGCAAAAAATTGTGGTTGATGGTTAGAGATGCTTTAGGCCATGATTTGGCAACCATAATCTAGCTTCTTTAAAAGCTACTTGAACGAGCATTTGAATAAGTACTTGAAACTTTTCACCATTTTTTCCAATAAATTTTTCGATATATCATTTATATCATCGTCTAGCTTATCAATTAGTTTTAACAAACCACAAGAGTGGTGCCTGATTGGTTTGAGCTGGGCTCCAAAAGTCAAAAGTGCCTGGAGGTCTCAGGTTCAAATCTAAGTAGGAACAAAAATCCCCTTGTGGTCATGGATGTTCAAATGTGGTGATTTCGGGCTACCCGCGAAGCAGGTAATCGTCCTGGGATTAGTCGGCTCGCATAGCGGGTTGGATATCCATGTTAATTAAAAAAAACTAGTTTCAACAAAAAAAACATTGGAAAAAGAATCAGTTGCATTTTTAGTTAATACTTTTCAAATGCTTAATTAACACGCACTTTGTCAAAAGTTTAACATCTACATTATTACATCTAGATTACTTGTTACAAAGTTATGATTAACAACAATAAAAAGCCAAAAGTTAAAAATCTAAATCAAACTTGATGTTAATGTGTTCGACACTCAAGCGAAAGAGAGTATGATCAATTTAAAATGCCATTGGCAACATGATCTTAACTATCAAACACCACTGCACAAAAATAAACACACACATACACAGAAAACATCTAGAGCAACATAACACTAAGAAAACAGAGTAATAAAAAGCTAATTAAACGAAGAATATGAAAATGAAAACCAATCAGTTCCCATAATTAAACAGACTTAACTCTAAACAAGTTTAGGTGTATGTGGGAGTGTATAGTTACATATACTAATTTATAGGCTATTTAGACAACATTCAGATCATAGGGCTTTAGGGTTTATGAATCGAAAACCTGAAGAGGAATGGTAGGTCGTTTGACAGAAGCAGCAGCTGGCCCTTTGGCATTAGATCCCGTCACCGGCGGCAGAGATCCGGCCATCATTTTAAATGTGAAGGAAGACATTTTAGTTGCCGGAGATCAAAACGGTAGCTATGATTAGCTAGTCTGACAGTAGCGTGGAGCGGTAGAGTTGAAACTTTTGACTTGGGATTCGGAAACTGGGATTGTGACAAAATCTGGAGGTAGGTGGCACAAAACGAAAATTTTGCTATCTACTCCTTGTAGTTCATATTTTTCCTTAAATGGTCCTCTTAAATATTGAAAAGGGTTTTTCTAACCCCACCCCCTCCTATGGGTGCATGTGAGAGGGATGAGATTGTGTAGGGGGTGAGTATGTGAGGGTGAGAATGAGGGTTGGTGTGAGGGAGAGGGGGTGAAAAGTGATGTAGGGGGGTGGGGATATCAACCCCCATTGAAAATTGTTATTATACAGGTTCTATGACAAATTGAAACTATGTAAGTCCTATTAGTTTTAGAACATCTCCAACAGCTTTTTTAAAATAGAGAAAATGGGGATTTTAAGCCTAAATTTTGCTCCAACAGCTTTCCCAAAACTATCTTCAAAATGGAAAAAGTAGTAGAGAAAATGGTTTACACGGTTTGTACAAATGGTTTCGTTTGCATTTTATCTTTCTCATATATAACATATACATGTACGTATATATACACATAGTGGGCTAATCAAATGAGAAATTGTTTGTGGTAACCGTGAGATCCAATCTCAACCACAAATCAAAGGTCAAATTAAAAAATTAATAGTTTTGGTAATTTTAACTTAAAATATTAATTAAGGGCATTTTAGAGATTTTATAGATATCATTTTTCATCTCTCCTCTTTCCTCTATCCGGCGAATCTTATTCCGATGAACTTTATGTGAATACAAGATACACAATGTGATACACATATATACATACAAGATGCACAATGTGATATTCTTTATAAAACAATGAAAATAACGAAAATGCACACTATGATACATTTCATAAAACAAAAAAAATACATTGTGATACACGTGAAAGATTGTGAACGTTATCACTATAATACATTTTGATTCACAAACGTTTTTAAAATACGACGTATATTAGGTAATTGATATGTTAGGTAACTAATTTTAGTTAAATATTTTCTTCTAAATTTTTTTATTTTAATATTTTAATTAGTTGTCAAAAATAGTAATTATTATATTACCTTTTTAGCTTATTAAATAAATATCTCAAATGAGTGGTCGCATTGGATCATACGGTTACCACAACTAATTAGTTCTTTCTTGAATTGACCCTCATATACATACACACATATATATATATATACATACATATATATATATATATGTGTGTGTGTGTGTATATATATATATATATATATATATATATTGGTTGGGTTCACGTGAGAACATACTGTTTTCGTGAAACTCATGAGACCATTTTTGTACACTTGAAACTTCATAGATAAACACTGTAAAAGAAAAAATCGAACCTTCACAGCAAAAAATTGTTAAGGTTACCTTCATAATATTTTCCTATGAATTTTCAAACATAAAAAGATGGTCTCATAGATCTCACAAAAACATACTGGTCTCACATGATCTTACACACACACACACATATATTGAGAAGTGGTAAATATTTGAGAAGTAAAAAAGTGATCATATCCCTTTATACGATCAAGATCGAATTTGACTGGTCAACAATTACGGCTTTGATTGATCAAAAATTACAGTTATACAAATAATGGATAGGGTTGTTTCGTAACTTTTACAAATAGGCAGCAAACGGGTTCATATATGAATCTATGTGATTCACATATGAACTATTTTAACTGATTCACATATAAACTAATTAACTGCTTCATATATAAACTCATGTGATTCATATATAAACTAATTAACTAATTCATATATGAATCAGTTAAATAGTTCACTTGTGAACGAATCAACGAGTTCACATATGAACATATAGTTCATATGTGTATCATATGGGTTCACATATGACCCATTCGCCATTTAATAAATTACCTTCTATCTTTTGCATACCTATAAAATGAATTATCAGGAGTTTCATGGTCAAAGCCGCAAATGTTGATCGGATGAAAAACTAGGATCACTTCGTTACTTCTCAAACATATAATAGTTGGATCACTATTTTATTTCGCAATATATCTCAAATATATATATATATATAGAGAGAGAGAGAGAGAGAGAGAGAGAGAGATGGGTAAGATTTTTTGTTAACCAAGAATATGGTATTAACTTCGTAAACTTATTGAACCAATTCTTAGTCTACTAAGAATTGGTTACTTCAAATGTTTGATTTAATGATGAAGGGTAAATAGGTAATTTTTATGTAGAAGTTACTTGTATGGTATTTGATGAGATGTTACAAATTTTTATGTGTAAATTACTTTTATGGTATTTAATGATGTTCATAGGTGTTCATAAAAATGTGTTCATAACATAAGGTATTCATAAGAATTTGATCATATGTGTGAATAACCATATGACGTTCATAATATTGCGTTTATAACCATATGGTGTTCATATGTGCTCAATAAGATTTAATGAACATAATCACATTGTCCATATTAATGAACATAATCACATTGTTCATAGAATTTATGTTCCTATATAGAGGAAGATGTTCATGTGTATATTAATGTCCATAATAATAGATATTTTTTATTAATGACAATAGATTAATGTTCATATGAATATTAATATCATTAATGTGCAGTTACAAACTTGATGATTTTTTTTTCTAATAATATCCTTATTCATGTATGTTCATCTTAGATGATAATGTATTATATTATTAGTTATTACAAAATTGTCATCATAATTATCATCCATTGATTCACAAAGATGAATGGTTGTGATAAGTTTACAAAGTTAATATCATAAATTGAGTTAATAAATGAACTTACCCCCACACATACACACACACACATACATATATATATATATATATATAGGGTTGGGTTCACGTAAGAGCAACATGTTTTCATGAGATCCATGAGACCACTGTTTTACACTTGAAACTTCACAGCAAAACGCCGTGAAAGTAAAAAGAAACTGAACTTTCACAGCATTTTACTGTGAAGTTTCAAGTATAAAAAAATGGTTTCACGAATCTCACAAAAACAAACTGATATCACGTGATCTCAAGTGCTTCTCTATATATATAACGTAGTTGGATAACGGCTGAATCAGACGTCGTTTCTTTCTTGCCGCCATACTCTTAATTGAGTTGTTATCTCTCTCTCTCTCTCTCTCTCTCACACACACACACACACACATATATATATATATATATATATTCAACAAAACACCACAACTTTTACTATTTGTTATTTTTTATTTTGTCATATAAAAAATAGTCATGAACGCAACCATGCTCAACACATTCGACTTTTAAATCAATTTTCTTTACATCTTATACCCACTAAATTCGAACAATAATTTATAATTTTAAAAACATTATTTTCATGGATTTAATCAATTCAAGATTCAAGATTTTAAGTTTATTCGTTAATCTGTACATGAACATGATCAAGATTCAAAAAACATAACAAAAAACATATATTATTTATAACAGAAAAAATTGATATACTTATAAAAAGAATAATGATCGTCTCTGCTACACGGCTTCAGTTAATTATATATGATTCCAATCTAGAATTACCTGTGCTCGATCTATGCAATATGTAGCCGAAGAAAAATGACTCTGAACTCTAGCTTGAATCGGAAGATGGAAAAATATCTACACAAAATCTTGTAAAATTAAGAACAAACCCTAAATGAGATTATATAACTATATTCATGGACAAAAACTCTGATCTTGAGTAGATATAAGCTCGGTTTGGCTATCAAGATCAAGAGCGTTATGGCATAGAGAAGGACCAGAAGGTGGCACTGGCCCTCGTGGAAGTTTACTGTTTACTAATCCCTTGTACCTCTCAAACCAATCATGATCTTCCATGAGCACCCTTGTTGCACCTGTCGTCAGCGGAGAAACCAGTAGAGATATAATTACAATCATAACAATAAGAAGAAGCTTCGGCCTCCTAAGAACCATCCTTCTGTACGTATATGTATATACTATGTAGAAACGAATATGGAGATGGTGGTTGAATTCGAATGCTCTCGTGCCAATATTTATGTGTGTCTCTCCATGGATCCAGTTGTAAGAAGTGGTTGAGCTTACACGTTTGTGTATGTTTGTATGTATATGTGTTTATATATATACATATACATACATACATATATATATATATATATAGAGAGAGAGAGAGAGATGATTTATGAACACGATTATGGGTATCGGTTGAATTTGAACGTCGGCCGAACTCCGCTTGTGAAAAAGTATTTATATTATAGCAAGAGTTTGATTTTTTGTTGTTTGTTATTTAATTTGACTTTGAAAATGAAGTTATGATGGTGAATTGAATTGTGGGTGGGGGCAGCCAAATTAGACGAGGAAAATGGCAACTTTTTGTCAATAGGGTGCTACAAATTATAGCATTTGGGTCAAAGACCTTCCAGCCTAGTGGTAAAGGCTTGGGCATGGCATAGTCATGAATCCGAGTTCGAGCCCTGGAAGGGGAGTGTTGGCGACATTTAAGTGAGGCCATGTTTAGCCTCCAAATTTGCCGGGGATTAGTCGGGCTTTGGCCCGGACACCCTTACAAAAAAAAAAAAAAAATTATAGCATTTGGCACGTAAAATTGATATATAAAATTTTATACCATGTACCAATCAACTATATTTTGTATCAATTTTTTTGGATTGGTATATGTTGGTACGGTTTTGTACCAACATTATAAAAATTGAAGTTACAAATTTATCTATATTGACATATTTACCAACTAGATCTAGGGGCGTAAAACAATCGAACATTCAAATAACATGTTAATAAGTGTTGCACCAGTTATCCCTACCTATACAGATATTCAAATAACTTTTGTATAATACAAATATTCACTAGTACATCTAATACCATGTACCAACCAAGTTTAGATAATCGGTATGGTACTACCAACTAATTAGATTGATATCAGCTAAATTATTATGATTGGTTGTATGAAAATTGGTTAATTTATCTTGGTACAAAATTGATGCCCCGAGACTACCTGTTAAAAAAAAAAAAACATTATCAATCAAATTCAACCATATCATTTTTTTTATAATAATTGGCAATTGAAAAACATAACTAAAAGTATTTCTAAAAAAATTAAACATTGAATTTATTTAATGATTTAAAATAAAAAAATATTTAATTTTTAATGACCACAAAATAATTATCTGTGGGATTATTTTATTTATTAAATTATGTTTGATAATAATTATAATGGGGGTAATATTTAAATGAAAATGCTATCTTTGTGTGTAGTTGTTTTATTATAAGAATTCTTGTGGATTTCATGGTGTAATAAATTAGTCTTGTAGAAAAACAAGCATGTCATTATTGAATTTTGACACTTGATGGCTTCTACTGACACCGGTAAGGGGTACTTTGGTCTTTTGTTATTTAAAAGAGAAAAGTCTAAAAAATATGATTAAGTTTTTGGACTATTTTTTTGAAACAAATAAGTATTTGGACATTCTAAAACCTTTCAAGATGTTTTGTGAAAACTATGTACATGCCAAAAATATCTATTTTGATGTATTGAAATGTTTTCCTTGATGATTATCGAATGTGGTTGTTATTTGATAGGTTTACATTTTTGTATAATGGGTTGAGAAATGCTCGTATTTAGGGTTTTTAAACATTTTGAAAGATGCATATTGTTACGCTATGGGACACTTTGTAAATATAAATGGTATGATTTCGATTTGAAGATGGTTTGTCCCAATGAATGATGGTTTGAGATAATCATGTCTTTAGGGCATGTGTTTGCATAAACGCAGGTTAAATACATTTTATTTATTATGATGACTTTTATTTAATAGTCATATTGAGTTGTTGAACTTTTGGCTCGGTTTTGACTCAGGTGAGTCTGGGGACATTTGTCCGGTTTAATTGTTTATGTTGAGCTTTTAAAGTTATATGTCATAGATATTTATAAAGTGTACACTTTGAGTGGGTTTGTCATCCATTTGGGGTTATTGTAAATTAAATATTTTTTTATCGAATATGACGAATATGGTGGTTGGACCACCAGTCTTTCATTTTGAGTTACAAAATATATATCCCTATATAAATCATATGATCATTCCCTACTTGTCATTATATACCGGATGATCTTTTCAAGTAGGTACTAGGAGAGTTGAGTCTTGAGGTGCTACCTTGGAGGTAGGCACTGAGAACTCCACCGCTTGAGGTAATGCCTTGGAGGTATTCCTTAAGTGTACCGAGCCTTGAGGTGTTACTAGTGCGAGTAGACTATGGTCAACCAACTCCTGAGGTGAAACTTGTTAACAAGTCGTATGGACACTTGGGCTTTAAGTCTCGAAGCGTCAAGCGACAACATAGTTCGAGTGGCATACTTTTGTGTTACTGTCACTCTCAATGGATACAAGTTTCTCTCGTTACTGTTAAATGTTATTTTTGGATAGCGTATTATCCATGTTTTAGTATTGGATATTAACCCTTATTTGCCTTTCCTGCGAGTATCGGGATTTTGGTTTCGTGTTTGATGGGTGTTTTAATTAACGGGTTTTTATCACGAAAATGGTGGGTCTTGAGAAAGATATTGCTTTCATTCCAAGTACATTTCATACCGGAAATTGAGATTTAAATAATATTCTTTTTGTTTTACCCTTTTTATAATTGATTAAAACTGCTTCAACTCACTATGCGTTATACCTAACATTTTATTTATCAACATGTGTATCAAGTTCTCATTGGAAAATAATACTAGCGACACTTTAATGGTTTGAGTGATAGCCAGAGACACAAGAAGAAGGATCTAAATTAAAAATACAAAATCAAAAACTCTGTAACTAAAACTAGAAATAACCGTTCAATAAAAGTATCATCCCTACTTATACCCTTCTAGAGACCTCGATTTACAACGCATCACCTAAGCATTTGTAAATCGAATCACTAGCATTCGTTCAACGTCACCACACCAGTGACATGTTTGCCGGGCCAATGACGCACGACATGAAGAAGGTAAGAAAACAACGCAAAAATTATGTTTTGCATGATTAACTTTTTTGGTCGCTTTTTTAAACATGTCATAAATATGAGTAACGCATTTAGGTCATAAAGTTGATGGCTTTTAATATCAAGGAAACACATGTAGCATTATTATGTGATCACAAAACCGCATAAAAAAGGTGTTTTGTTATTTTGTGATGAAAAGTCATTGCTAATAATATCATCGATATTAACGGATTCTATAAAAAAAATAGAAAAAGTAAATTGCTATATATCAATGAAGAAACTAGGTAGATGCTAGTAAAGATATGCCCCCATCCTCCCTTTCAATTTAAGTTTATAGTTTTCTTAAAATACATAAAATCATATTATAACATTGACGGAGACAAAAAAATAAAACGAAATATTAAAATTGAAATGTATCTCGCTGCATTATGCGAGTACCTTTCTAGTATTTTAAAAAAAACACAACATATAAATATCAAATAAAATATATTAGACATCCATACAAACATAATGTATAAGCATAATAATCTATACTATATTATAAAACATTTGACAAAAACACTTAAAAACTATTTTTTTATACTAGAAATATTGTTTATTGTTGAATATTACTTAAAATTAAAGATTACAAGTAAAATGTGTTTAAGTACAACTTATTAAAGCTTTATCTTTGAATTCTTGTAACTAACTGCAGATAAACATAATCAAATACAAAATAAAATCTCATTTTAAATATAAAAAAAATCTAAAATATAATTAGAATAATCATTAAATTTTAACATAATACTTAATTATTATCTTTATAAANTAGGATAAAATTTTAATACTAATGCATATATATATATATATATATATATATATATATATAATAAAAATATAAAAGTATAAATGAAAATTATGTATCTATACTATATTATAAAGCATTTGACAAAAATTCTTAAAAACGATTTTTTATGCACGAAGTACTGTTTATTGATACATATTACTTAAAATTTAAGATTACAAGTAAATTGTGCATAAGTACAACTTATTAAAGTTCCATACTTGAATTCGTCTGACTAATTGTAGATAAACATAATCAAATATCGGATAAACATCTCATTTTAAATATAAAAAATATAAAATATAATTAGGATAATCATTATAACTAACAGAATACATAGTTATTATCTTTATAAATTATTAAACCTAAATTAAATTATAATTAGAAATTTTGAATTAAGAAAATTACACCAAAACACATGAATTTTTGAAAAAAGATTAATTTGATACTGATATCTATATATTTTTTTAAAATTTACAAAATTTTTAAATTTATATTTTATTCAAAAATAAAAACATTATCGTTTTTTCAAAACCACATAAAACCGTATTATATCAACATAAAAAAGGAATAAAATGAAACACTGAAATTAAGAAGTGTTTCGATACATTGCACGAATACCTTTCTAGTAATAAATAATATATGAAATTAGGTGGTAATTGGATTAAATGAGTTGATTTTTATTGGATTGACATCTGAAAATTAACAGCTCCTATTTAAATGTTTAAATTTCGGATATAATCCGATCAAATTATAATTAGATATATTTTCTATACACCTCCAAGTTTTAATTTTTTGAGATAAATTATTTTTAATGCCTAAAGAAAAACACACCCTTAATTAGATTGAAAAAAAACTCAGAAATGAAGAAAAAGATGAGGGACTTAAAGTAACCAAACAAGATAAGTTGAGGGATTGTAAAGATACTAAGACGATAATTACATGGACCAAATTGTAAATTTGTTTTAGCTTCGAACACGAAGACGAAAAGATCGCGACTCGCACACAAAGAGAATATTAACGAGAGTAAAAGGCAGTGAAGGTGCTCAAACTTGTTCTGCTTTTTGGGGTTCTTCGTCATCTATTTTGGGCAGGTGAAAGCTACAAGATCCTTTAACATTTCTGATCGGTTTTTTTGTGTGGATTGAGGTCTTCATTTTGATACCAAAATCGCCCATTTTGGTGTCCAAAGTGGAGAACGAACGCTGCCTGCACCGGTGGTTTGAAAGTAGTAATTTTCCAAAATCAATAATCGATTGTTTCTGGTGATGAACACAGAATTGCAAGTTTTTTCTGTTGATTTTGAGACATATAGCGAAATCAATCAGCTTTTTACTCTTTTACTTGGCAGGGAAAGAAGGAGATAGCGTAAATACATAAATGTTTGGAATTTCTCTTTCCCAATTAGCTTCACCTACTAGTTTACTTACAGCTTCTTCAAGGTTCGATTGATATTCCTTAAGTCTTGAATAGTTTTTTTTTTCATTCATATACGTTAGAACTTTTTTTTTTTGTGTATGTGAAACTGAAACCAGGTATTTTGGATGATGTAGTGGTTGTTCTAGAAGCAGAGTCGTTGTTAAAATGGCAGCAACTACAACTGCGACCCATGGAAAATCAGTTGGGTCGGTTGTGGTGAAGCCTCCAGGGCACCCTACTTATGATTTGAAGGGTGTCATAAAGCTAGCCCTTTCTGAAGATGCTGGAGATAAAGGTCCAATTGGTTGTTGAATTTTTAATCATATTGTTTACAGTTCAATTATTTGAAAGCTATGTACATTGAAGGGGGAAAGTGTCACATCTTCAGGCCTAGATTAAATGTCACATTGACTTTGTTATTCATGCCTAGGAGTGCTGATTGTGTTGTAAATCATTTTCATCATTTATTTATTCCTCAGCTAGAGTCAATTTTCCATAATTTGCCAAGACTATTGCTAAATGTAACCTTGATTATGATGTGATGGGTATCATTAAGCTATCCCTTTTTGAAGCTGCTGGAGATAGATGTCCAACTTTTTTAATACTGTTACAATTCAATTATTTGAAGCTATGTACATTGAGTTGTAGTTAGTGTAAAAAAAGGGTAAAATACTACTTCATTTGGCCTAAGATTAAATTTCACATCAGATTTTGCCATTTGTGTTGAGGAGTGCTAATGGTGTCATAACTTAGTTATATCCTCTATTTGCTCCTCAACTAGAGTCTAATTTCCAAACCTTCCTAAGAATGTTGGTAAATGTAACCATGAGTCATGGGTTTGATTATGTTTTGTCATTTCTACACTAACACTCTTTCTTTAACCGAACACTTGACAAGGTGGATCTCTGTTTGTCTGTCGTCAAAGTATTGTTATTTTTCTAATCAAGAGAAAAAGGATTGTCAAACTTATTCACCTTTTAGTTGTTTGGTTTCTTAATAGTAATATGTTAGTGTCGACTCACATGTGCCATTTGATTTGAGCAGGGGGCCTGAAGAAAATACTTAAAATTAATAAACATTCATGATGTCTTTAATAATCTACCAATATTTTTGGGTTCATGAATGTAGGGGATGTGACTTGTTTGGCCACCATACCAACTGAGATGGAAGTTGAAGCATATTTTCTGGCGAAGGATGATGGAATTGTTGCGGGCATTGCACTTGGTGAAATGATATTTAATGAAGTTGATCCTACATTGAAGGTATTGACAGACAAAATATCTTTACCAAAACTGAACAACTTATGTTAATTTTCTGAATGTTAGTAGTTTTTTCTGCCCAAAATGGTATCAGGTGGAATGGTTTAAGAGGGACGGAGATAATGTTAGTAAAGGACTGAAGTTTGGCAAAGTGCATGGTAAGCAATAGACTTGATCGAGCTAGATCTCCTCTTTGAAATTCAAAGATTGGTTGAAACTGTTTATGTCAAACTTGTTGGTGCCTCATCTGCGAACATATTTAGGAAGGGCACACAGCATTGTTGTAGCCGAAAGGGTTGTGCTCAATTTTATGCAGAGGATGAGTGGCATTGCCACACTGACAAAGGTGTGAATATTTCTGCCCAAAAGATATCTAGTCTTGGTTTTGTATTGACATGTTAAAATTTGTATGATGGTGTAGTCACAAATTCGACAAGTGATATTTAAGTTGAATTTCAAATGTCAATGCACATAAATGGCTCTCCACCACATGTAGAATTATAGTTTTTTTTTATTGCACAAAATAGTTAAGAAAAGGAAGACGTTGCAGTCCATAATGTCAAGTTTAAAAAACATGTAGATCAAGTGGATTTTAGGATCATGTTAGTCAATCTTATTCATCTTTATGCAAATGACTCGTGAGTTTTCGGGTACTCTATATCTATCAACCAATTGGACATTTTGATTTACCAATTATTTTGATGAATAGAGAATCTCACAAATTCTCTTGATTATATCTGTTTGGTGTTATCTATTTATGATAAAATTGTGATATACTTTTTACTTGATTTTGTTAGCCAAAGGGATTATATTGATTTACAACACATAAGACCCCGTAGGAGCTAGACTAAAGCCTGAAAATGTCAAGAACATACAGAAATGCAAGCAGAAGACAAAGCAACAAGCTTAGGACAAAGGCCATCAACGAAGTTTCAAAGTGTGAAAAAAGGAATAAAATAATTGCAACGAGACTTACGACTGCCAGCAACAAAGAAAATACATTACTGTTTTGAAATACCATATCAAATCATTGCAGTTGGTAATTATAACTTTATAAAATTGATATCATTCAAGCCTAATAATTATCCATAACCATTAGGAAGAAGTATACAGTATGGCCTGGGTTCCCCGTCTAGCCTTAATAATTATCTTCACCATATTTAATGCTTATCATGTCCTTTATCCTTCACACATGCCTACAGGCGATGAAGTTATAAATATGAATTATGTTTGAGCAAACAGAGGGAAAATAAGCCATTTAGGCTCCAATTCTTAATATCAACGCTTGTTAATTTAAGTTTGGATTGACAGTAAATAATAAGTTGAATGAAGTCATGCAGCTTCTAAAGTTAATTTTTTTGTGTAATTTTCTTAAAGGCCATGGCAGATGCTGCTCATCCTGCTTGCATTTTGGAAACAAGGAAAACTGCCCCAGCGCTACGTTTGGTGGATAAGTGGGCGGTGTAGTTCACTTATTTTTCTTGCATTACAGTCACATTGAACGTAAATTTGTCTGCAATCTTTTTCGTAACACATATGCTTCTCTGCTGACAGGTACTGATAGGTGGAGGCAAGAATCACAGGATGGGTTTATTTGATATGGTGATGATAAAAGACAACCATATATCCGTAGCTGGAGGTGTTTCAAATGCCCTCAAATCCGTGGACCTGTATTTGGAGAAAAATAATCTTCAAATGGGCGTTGAGGTAGCTTCTGAAAACATCTTGCAATCTCAACGAGTTTCTACTTTGAATCAATGCAATGTCTTCAATCATTTATTTTGAAGCAAATCTTTCCTTTATTGTACAATTATTTTAGCTTGTCTTCTATTAGATGTGGAGCATCCCACTTCCTCTCAAATCCATGTGTGCCTTTGTTGCAGTGTGGTTAGAAAAGCACAAAAAGCCCGAAGACCGGTTCAAAAAAGCCTGGGCCTAGCAGTCCCGAAAGCCCAATCAAGCTATATATTTTTTTCAAAAGCCCGGGCCTGAAAAAGCCTGATCGGGGATGCTTGAAAAATCCTGGGCTCTTTTTTTCTTACTGAAAACGGGATCGGAAGGCTGAAAATGACTGTGCCTTGTTTATTTCTAGTGCCTGCGTGTGTATAGTTGGGTTGAAGGTATAGATAAAACTTGTCTCCATTAACAGGTCGAGACTAGGACATTTGAAGAAGTACATGAGGTCCTACATTATGCTTCTCAAAATGAAAAAACTTTCTTAAGCAGGATAATGTTGGATAATATGGTTGTGCCTCAACCTGATGGTGATATCGATGTATCCATGCTTAAAGAAGCTGTGGAGCTGATCAACGGGAGGCTTGAGACTGAGGTAACTTCTTACTCGTGCTTGTTCATTTAAGTTGACCAATACTACAGTGAAGATGGCTATGGGATGCAAACATCGTGCAATTTTTGTTTGATCATCATTAAGCCCTTCTATAAATAGTTGATGGTCTCTTTATTTTTCATTGTCTATATACAAGACAATTTTATCTTTTGCACAATTTTCACAAGCCGGGGGTCTTCACGGAAACAAGGGCTCTACTCTTTGAGGAAGAGGCTAAGTTTGCATACATCTTACCCCACCTCCAAGTGGGATATACTGGGCTCGTTTGGTTTTGGGTTGGGGCGAAAGCTCTACGTTATACATTCTAATTAGACGAGTGCTTCTTTGGAATCAGGGAAACCAAGAACTGCTATTTTAGACAATTGCTTAGAAAAATGTTTTGAGGATTCTAAAACAAAACTGCATAATCCTATAGAACATGTTAAACACATACCAGTTACCAAGTTCTTTTATAGCTTTGTGACATTTATGTTGGTTTATGTTAATAGGCGTCTGGAAATGTTACCCTAGAAACGGTACACAAGATCGGGCAAACTGGAGTCACATACATATCCAGGTAAACAATGGGGGTCAGAAAAACTTTCACAAGTTAGAACAGATGAAATGTCCACTTATATCTCACCTCCAGACCCTATGGTTTATTTATATTTATGATTTATGGTACGTGATTTGGTAATGTATGTATGCAGCGGAGCGTTGACACACTCGGTGAAAGCACTTGACATATCATTGAAAATCGATACGGAGCTCGCGCTTCAAGTTGGAAGGCGCACAAAACGAGCGTAATCATCCTTGATATGGCACTTGGTTTGTTTCCCATAACCATATTCTATGATTTCTCTAGTTTGGAATTCAAGGAATAAGGTGACATAGCATGGTCATCATAATCACAAAGTTTCCTTGCTATAATTTACCAAAAGACATAAATACCCACATTCTTATTTCTGTTAACCATCTGATTTTATAAGATCACAAGGGTGATTTAGTGTTGTTGATGAATTCTTGTTTGGCTATAATCAAGAGTTGGATCTTGAGGTGTAATTAAGCACGGGTTTCACTACCGTCACGAGATTCATTTTAAGTTGTGAAAAAAAAAAAGTTTGTGTTACCCTCCAAAGTGCCACGACGTTCATGGAGGAGGTAAATGCTAGAGCACGGTGGGCTGGATTTGAACCCGAGACTTTATTGTGAAAACTCCCACAACTTTCCACTACAGTGGTATGGTTCATCTTCAGTTCTTTACTCATTCTCACCCATAACCCATATAGTAATTGGTCCCATGACCATCTTTGAGGTTGTTCGTTTTTGGCTTGATAGGTTGTATAATCTATATTGCTTACTCGGATAGCCATAGGTGATTATTCGGTTTGTGGCTTATTTGGTCAGCCAAAAGGAACCATACAAATGTAATTGATTACTACATCTGAATACCAAACTTAACTTAGGGGCCGTTTACCAAACACTTACCCGGTAATAGCTTATTGGTGAAATTTAACACTATCATTTACTTACCGGGTAAGATTTTAGTCCACAAAAACAGCTTCATATGCAATAGTTTACCCGGTAAGTTCTTACCGTGGTAAGAGTCATCTCCCTCACTTACCGGGTAAGACTCTCGGTCCTTGTCTCGCTCTTACCGGGGTAATGTAACTTGATCTTCACTTACCCAAGTAAGCGTTTGGTAAACGACCCCTTAATCAAACCGTATAAGACATTGGTGAACATCTATAAAGAGAATGATATCTAGAGATTGAGCAAAAACTATGATCCCAATTCGATCATTCAAAGGAGTAGCTTTTATCCCTAAAGAGTGGTAGTAGTGCTATATTTGTCCTAATCAATCTTCCTTAAAATTCGACCAAACTGTTAACCCGTCAATTAACAGGGTTGAAATTGAGGAATGTAGGTTTAGCTCGACCTAACCAAACTTGCTGTTAACATCTATAAAATATATATTGATATCGAGTCTGGTTCAAATAAGAATCGTAAATATTTGAGAAACCAATGAATTCATTATCTTAGTGTTTATTAGATGTTGAATGTATTTATTGATAAAATGCAAATTAACAGTGAACTAATACTTTAGCATATGTTTATTGACAAAATACAAATACTAGATATATTCATCAAAATGAATATATACTATATATTTATCAGTGTCAAAAGGCTTGTCGCATAGGCTATTGTGGCATGTTGTGGCTCAAGGCTTGTGTCTCAAATTACGTTATGTTGTGGCACACCATAGCCTAGTGTGTGGTTTTGTAACGCGATATTTGATTTTTCTTATCTTTTTAATGTCTTATTTGTTAGTTTATAATATACAATCTAATTTTAATTGTTTAATATTATTGACTCATTGAGTAAATAGTAGAAAACATATGTTTATATATATATATATAAACATATGTTTTCTACTATTTACTCAATGAGTCAATAATATTAAACAATTAAAATTAGATTGTATATTATAAACTAACAAATAAGACATTAAAAAGATACCACAACTTGTAACACCCCCGTCCCGCGTGGTCAAAGACGGGAGATGCCACAATTGGAATAAAACAAACAACGTGCTATATAAAACAGAGCGGCTAATAAAATTTACCAAAAGATAATTACATAACCACAAACGGAGATAACGTGTCTCAAAATACGGTCCCAAAATACCAGCATGTCTACATTAGTCATCAAAAGTTTAACAAAAGTATGACTTAATGAGTTATCTTCAATATTGTCATCTCTGTAGTTCTCATCCCAAAATCCCTGCTAAGTCATGTATCTGCCGAGGACAAGAAAATTTCGGATGAGCTTAATGCTCAGTGAACGGATAATAATAATTAAACAATGAATATGAGATAACAAGTTCAAAAACAATTTATAACGTCAAATGATAATCCAAAAGAAAGTCAAAATGCCCCAAAAGCATGTCAAGGGTCCAAAGACCAAACTGCATCACGAGGACGCATTGTTCCCAAAGGATGATCAGTTCATTCAGGCACAAGTGAGGAAAGGGGTGTGAGCACAACACATCAATCCTCTCCGTGGATTTAACCACGGCCACAATTCATTATCCGATAACGGTTCCTAGGATCGATCCATACGCCCTCTGTTCGACCTGTACATAATCAAGTCCACTTTTAAGGACTATAAAAATAAGAACGCCATGATCGTTTTAGTCACCATGGAAACATCTCAATACCGGTACTCCAGTTATTGAGTCTATAGTAAAATGTTTCACAAATAAAGCAATAAAACAAGTCAAGTGATCAAAATGATCCATATTCCGAATAAGAATATAAGTCGTAGTTCAAAAGGAAACAAAGTTCAATAACATTTGATAAGCATAAAGGAAATTCAAAACAAATTATTCGGAATTTATCACAGATTATCTGGATTAGGAAGCCTTACGCAAATGGCTATCCCCGTGTCAAGTGAGATATGAAATCCGTACCTTAACCGAATTTGATAATTAACGCACGATCAAACGGATATATATATATATAGGGTTGGGTTCACGAGAGACCAAAGGTTTTTCGTGAGACCCGTAAGACCAATTTATGTTCATTGATCAATTTTATAAACTAATGATCTAATGGTCTAAAGTTGCAAGGTGACAATTTTGTAATTATTGAGAAGTCTTGTGGCATTTATGAATGTTCAAATCTGACGATTGTAAATGTAATCCAAGGGTTGAAAATTGGTTTTACGGGTCTCACGAAAAACCATTGGTCTCACATGATCCCAAGTATATATATATATATATATATATATATTTATTTATTTATTTATATATATATATTTATATATATATATATATAGAGAGAGAGAGAGAGAGAGGTGAGTTATTATACAACCTCCTACATTTGTACAATCAACACAACTCAATCTCAGCCGTCCATTTAATTTGATGAATATGTAATTTATAGAAGTTTTGATTATTTGTTAATATAAAGTATTAATCATAATTAATGAACCGTATTCATATTCCATAAATATTTAAATCATAATAAATGAATTTTCATCATTTCTATAAATATTTCAATTTATTGGGTTGCATTGGTTGTATAAATGCGAGAGAGAGAGATCTGTCGTCATAAGTCATGCCTTGAAAACTTTGTGGCCTTGCTTTGTTGTGGCTCCTAAGACTTGAGGTTTTGTCTCACCGTCATGTCACACCTCATGCCATTTAGAACCTTGATCTTTATTGATGAATATAGTCATTGATGCAATACAAAAATACAAGTGAATATATTAATTGATGAATATATTCATTAATACATTATTTTAGTCATTTTAAACACGTAGTTTAATTTTAACACATGCTATAAATCCTATAATGATTAATAAGGATTGTTTCTGGCAACGGGGATCGATACCATTACCACTCGAGCGCTTTCAAACACGATACCTCTTGCTTATTGAGGAGTAAAACGGTTCCAATTCATTCAACACAACTCTGGAGGCTGATTAAATGCTTACCGGTGAGAGTCACCACTGTTTCTTATTTTACCAAGAAAGATTCTTAGCTATCCAAATGACATAGTAGCAATAATCTTACCCGGTAAGAGTCACCATCCTCATTTACCAATTAAGATTATTAGTCATTATCATACCTCTTAATGTAAGATTATTGGTCCTTGTCATATTCATCCCGTAAGGTAAGTGATCCGATAAGATTATTGTTTCATGTTATTATGGAAAAAGATGAAACATTTGAGAGTGCATGTCCATGCTACTAGTTGAATGGGAGAATGTGCAAAATTACTAAGACACAAATAGAAGGGCAAATGAACTTGTATTTCATGTTGTATAGAGTAGTGGGATAATTAGGAATCCAGAATTCATCAGAAATATGGACGTGTTATTTATTATGAATGTTTGTAACATATTCATCAGAAATATGGACGTGTTATTCATCATGATGTCGTAATATATTCATCATGAATGTATGATTTATGATGAATAACACTTCTATATTCGTCATGAATGTGTTATTCACGATGAATATTCAACCTCAAAAAGGACACAGTTAACGAGTCCCGAGTTCCTAATCAATTTTAGGTTACTAACGGAACTTTCCTCAGTATGTTGCAATCAATATTTTAAAAGGATTTTAATCCTTCACCAAAAGGGTAAAAAGATTGCGTGAAATCAAATCAATTATATAAAAATAAAAGTTGGTATTAATTCATCTTTAAACAAACAATAACAAGATTAATTGAATTTTGCACAAAGAAGAAAACACAAATAAAGCACCAGAAGTTGCTTCAACTCTTTGTTCTTCTTCATGCCATGAAAATAATATGTTAAAAATCAAACCAATCCGGTAAATCCCACGCTGTAAAAAATATGAATGAGATAAATAAAGTACCCGAAAGAAGTTAGTTGGCGGTCGCTTAGACGTGTTCGAGTTGTTGTCGTAACCTTTCGAGTTGCCCCAACAACGAGTTAGCCTTTCGTTTACCCCGTTCCGTGCCATTTGTGGCAAGCTCCATCAACGGTCCCACGGCCCCGAGCCTGTTTATACACACAAGATTCTCGTCGTCTCTCTTGCACAACGAAACCAAAATCGAAGCAGCGGTTTCTTTGTTTCTCGGGATCCCTACCGTCATATGATCGATCAAATTAGGAATAATGCCAGCTTCTACCATAGCCGCTTTAGCTTCTTGGTGGGTAGCAAGAACAGAAAGTATCGTCAATGATTCATTAACCATCGAACCACCTGAATCCGTCAGCATTTTGAGTAGTGCCACCATGATCCCCGACCTGACCGCCCTCCCCTTGTTTCCTTGGTACATACACAGATTAAACAACGCGGTCGCAGCATCGGTCTTGCCTCTTCGGCTCCCATATTCAAGCAGATCAACCAAAGCAGGAATTGCTCCAGATGCACCGATTATGATCTTATTTTCATCCGCAAGTGATAAGCTAAAAAGGGTAGCGGCTGCATTTTCTCGTGCTTCCATGATTCCGGCTTTGAGGACTTTTACAATATAAGGTACTGCATTTGCGAGCATTATGAGTCCCCTGTTGTTTTCGTATATTGAAAGGTTGAGAATCGAAGTCACGGCATGTTCTTGTGTAATATTATCTTCGGATGTTAATAAATCGACAAGGATTGGGATTGCTCCTGCTTCAGCGATGAGTATTCGGTTGTTTGTGCTTCTTTTCGATAACGATCTTATTTCAGACACGGCTGCCCTTCGTTCTTCAATAGACGGACTCGAGAGGTTATAAACGATCGATTCGATGACATCGATATCTCGGCTGACATCAAGAAACGTTCCGTCGCTCTTTTTCAGTTTTCTGTTGGTTAGTAAAGTTGGCTGTTCAACATTGTGATTTGTACACCATTGAGTGATCAAACTTCTTAAGACATAGTTAGGAGTAAGGATGAAGTTTTGAAGTTTCTGCTGAGTTTTTGGGCATGTTGTATTCCCACAATTGATCCATCTTTGTATGTATGATCTCTCATAAGTCTGTAAAATAATACAAATATTAGAAGCAATATTTCTTTTCAAGAAAGAAAAAAGAATAAGGAAAAGAAGGAAAAATAGACAATGAATTGAATTTTCATGGTCTTTCACTTGCATATCTCAATAAAAAAAGATTTATCAAAGCAAAAGGTCGTTGACCCAACGGTATCTGGGTTACTGAAAGATCCCAACATTTATGGAAATCAAGGGTCCAAGCCACACCGAATTTTAGCAAAAGGTTGACTACAGTGACCCCTACTAGCCCCACATGGAACTTGCTCCCCTAGGAACCACATGTAAGGAAGCATTTGGAAGCTGGGTCAGCGGCTGAGGCTAGCGGAAGAACTTGAAACTGTTGTGTATTTAAGCAAAGTCGCTCCGCCCTTTTACCAACTGAGCTACACGCCCGAGGGCCCAAGCCACACCATTGGTGAGGAGTGTGTGAGTTTTGCCGTATATAAATATCATATACTTCAAAGAAAGAGATTTATCAATCATGGGCTTAAATTATCATGTTAATTACATCATTTCAATCCTATGAACCAGAAATTTCACAAATTGAAACGTGGTCTATGCTTTAGTTCAAAAGCAATATCTTCATTTCAAAATATTGACAAATTAAACTTCGTTACACGTTTGCTTTAATTTGGATAACAATTGGACGAAATATGATTGTGAAGATTTAAGCATACATCAATAATTGGGCACATAAAAAAACCCATGGGAGTTCAGTGATCATTTCATCTATTTTGCCTTCCAAACCAGAAAAAAGTATCTCAAGCAAGTTAGGCATCTAACTACCATTTTATTCAATATTTATGTAGAGTCGATTAATACTATCTTCAGGGATCGAAGTCGTTGTATAATACTGAATTTGACGTACCTGTCCTGTGGACACAATAACAGGATCTCGGAAGAGCTCTAGCGAAATCGGGCAAAGGAAGTCATCTGGAATCACAGGAGAATCAAGCTTCTTGTTCTCCTCTATGTTGTTTACTGTACAACCCACATCAGTAGTTTCTAGTTCCAACTGATGAATCATTTCATCTGGATCTTTTGAAAGGCTTTCATTTGGAATACCTCCCACTTTCGATTCAAATCCATGATGATCAATGTTGGTTGGCTGAAGAGAGTCAGACTCTTTAGCCAATGGCTTGGATATGCCACAAGAAATATCAATCGAATCTTTTGGTCCACCATATCGTGCTGTCGCTCTTTTCAACTGACCTTTCACTAAATCAACCTATGAAAATAGATCCATTGAGAAAAGAAAAGAAAAAAAATGCTGGAAGATGAATATGATCAAGTGTTCAAGTCTTACTTGTTCTTTAACTTCCTCTGATATGTCAAAACGATCATATGGCAAGTTGGATAATGCTTTCTCCAATTTCCATGTAACATCTTGGAATTGAAATGCAATTTTCTGGGAGGCTCCGTCCTTTAATTATAAGTAAAAGGCTTATTTTTAGAATTTTAGCAAATATAACAGTTAGTTTGCAAGGAAACTACAAGTGTTATGTTATGGTTAGAGAACTAATCCACTCATAGGCAAAATGATATACTAATGCATGCAAAATACCAAGAGATGATCACGTAGATCTATATGATGGAGTTCATAGTTCACACTGATAAACCAAACGAAACGATTTCAGTATATCCAGCTCGAGCGTAGGGTATGGGGAGGATGAGACGTATGCAGACTTGTCCTCTACCCCAAAGGATAGAGCAGCTGTTTCTGTGAAGACTGAAGACACCATGCTTGTGCAGAAATTTGAGCAAAATGGAAGGAAGATAAAGAAGAAAGAAAGAAGGGATGAAATAAGAAAGGAAGATTTGCAGTTCTCTTTGTGCACAGAAAGATGATAAGCGTCTAGCAAAAGAACCGTAGTCCCTTGATGGCAAGTGTATGGGGATCATAGCAAATAGTGTTAACAATGGAAGCAATCTGTCATGGAAGCATATGATTCTGAAAAGGTCGAGTCACAGCAGTACCTCACAGACGCACACAAGTTCAGTCCAGAAGACCATGATACCATGCAGCAAAGAAGGGAACATGAAGGCACTCGAAATGAGAAATCTTTTGGCAATTGCAGTTTTATCTGAAATGGTGTTACATTTTCTTGTATCATGCAATATTTCCCAGAACATTTTGGAATGCACTTGATACACCTACAAAGTAACATATTTTGTACAATGAATCTAGAAGACTCCCACCCTTCGGAAAACTCTCATTCTAGGATGTCGTCTGTGACACCTGTAAATAGGTGGAATCACTTTCGTTTGTAATCGATCCAAGAGACTTTCGAGTGATTCAAATAAAGCTTTCCTTACAAATTCAGATGTCGTCCCCATTGTTTGTAATCGATCCAAGCGATTTTCAAGTGATTCAAATAAAGCTTTTCTTATAAATTATGCAGTCCTTTCTCTCCATTGTTTTAGGTTGACTTAGCACAAGTGCATCAATGATTAAGAACCAAACAATATGTGACCATATTTATCAGAACACAAATTAACAACATGATAATACAATTGACTTATTCAATCAGACAAAAATAACTCGTATCCCTTCAGAAAGTAAAACACTCAAAAGCTAAATTTGGGGATTCGATCAAATAACCAGCGCAACTCTCATACGCTCAATCTTTCTAATGTGAATCGAGATTTATTAGTTGAAATTTACGCAGTTGAATAAATTACCTCACGAATTGAAAAAAACCGAGGATGTACTTACAGGAGAGATATTGTGATCGAAGCTTCCTGCAGATAGAAGCAGTCTTTTAGCAGCTTTAAGAGCTGTCATTAGCTCAGATAACAAAGAAGAAGACGTTGAGGAAGAAGGCGATGAATCCAACGGCCTTAAATCACCTTGAGAATCCCTAATTTCTTCCAACAAATGCGACAACAAGGCTACTCTCCTAGAAAGATCAGTACAATCCCTCTTGAAGCCTCCTGTAAATCCAGTAGCGGAACTCCTTGCAACATCGCGGATTATGCGGAGAAGAGACTGAATTGCAGCCACAATGGCGGTAGAGTCCTCGCCGGCCATGGATTATCGTCAGTAACAGGAACTGTAAGGCAAGGGTTTGCAAAATCTGATCAAATATGGAAGCAATCCAAAAAGAAGAACAACATAAGGAATGTGTGGGTGTACCCAATGATTGAAGTTGAAGATTTCGAACAAGGAAATGCGTGTTTTTGGTGAAAGAGAAGAAGACAGTTGTAAAAGGGGGAATATTTCAAATACTTTTAATTATATTATATTAATTACGTTTGTTTTTTAAGGAATGTGAATTAAAATAGGAATCAATATAAAAACTTATATATTTATGGAAAAAGTGTAAAAAAAAATCCAATAAAGTTTAGTGTTTGGAATGATTAAGGGGTTGTTTGTTTGGCTTTTAATAGTTACATTAAGAGCCAACCTCTTAATCGGTAAGAAGTCAAGGTTATTTGGCAAAAAAAAATGGCTCTGAATGGTTACATTTTCCCTCTTAACCATTTTGTATGTAAGGGGTCTCTAAACCATTCAGACTTCTTTTTTTCCATATTTGCCCTCTCTCTCAACATTCCTCACACATCGCTCACAGCCCCTCCCCCCACGTCGCCGGTCTTCAAATCCCTCCCCCCACCCCACGTCGCCGGTCTTCAAATCCCTCCCCTAACCTTACGATCGCCGGTCTTCAAATCCCTCCCCCAACCCTACGATCGCCGGTCTTCAAATCGCTCCCCCAACCCTACGATCGCCGGTCTTCAAATCGCTCCCCCAACCCTACGATCGTCGGTCTTCTTCTTCCAGCAGGTCTCACGTCGCCTTCTTCCAGCAGGTCTGTTGTCGCCGCCGCTCGTTGCCGCCGCTCGTCGCCGCCTCTTCTCGTCGCCGCCTCACGTCGCCGTCTCCGGTCGCCTTCCACAGCCTCCTTACTGCTGCATCCTCTCCTGTCTAGGGTTTGGTTTAGGGAATTTTTAGCATTTTTCTTTGGAAATTGATGGTGTTTATTGCTAATTTCATGTTTGTAACAATGTTAATGATGATTGGATTACCGACATTTTGCAATTTCTTGAGGATTTGATACTGATATGAAGAATAGCATCTTTTCTATATATCCGTTTAGAATTGATTGTATTTCTTGAGGGTTAAAATGGTAATTTGTTGTAATTCAGAGAACAATTACCAAACAACTTTGTTTCATTCAGCACTTAACCATTCTGATCTTCTTAGTCATTCTAACCTCTTAACTATTCTGAACTAAATCATTCAGCAACTGCCAAACAGCCCCTAAGTTCTTAAATAATTTTTTGGAACAAATAAGTTCTTGGACATTTCAAAACATGTTAAATAATTTTTTGGACTTTTTAAAACCTGTTAGATACATTCTTATAATCTATACAACTTGTTAATGTGGTAAAATAATGAAAACAATATGAATAAAGACTTATAATATTTTGAACGATTAAATTTATAAACATTTTTTTGAACTAAAAAAGTACTTATAATATAAAATTTATTCATTTAGATTTTTTTTCTTTTTTTTTAATTTGAGAAATCATATACGGAATATATTTTAATTTTAATCAGTCATCTTTTTTAAATATTTTTTTCATTTAAAATAAATTTCATCAATATTTTTTTCTAAATGTAAATATTTTTTTATAAATATAAGTACTTTTTTTATATATATTTGTTTCATTTTATAAATATAAGTACTTTTTTATTAAAAAAATATGTTTAGAGACTTAATCATTAAAAATATGAAAGTTCATTATTTTTTTTCCATATTTTTTCCATTATTTTACCATATTAACCAGTTTTATAGGTCATAATCACTACTAAAAAATCGGGTTTTTCCGACGGCAAAATCCGTCGGAAA